CTAGTCCCCAAACTCTCAGAGAGATTGATTTAAGTAATAACTCCATCGCCTGTGTGGCATGGTCAGCCTGTCAATTACATTCTTTCTTTACTGCAATGCCATGGTATCCATGAATTGCGTTTGTGCGGCAGGCCAGAAGAAACTGTCAGGCGGTCACAAGCAGACAAGTGAAAAGAAGTGGGTATGAGCTGAAAGAGTACAGTCAGAAGAGATGGGAACAACTGACCTGTGTAGTGATGAGTGGAAGGAGGAGGCAGACATGAGGCTAATAAGAGGTTCCCGGAACTAACCGATGACAGAATTTAGTCATGTGATTAAAAACTTTGGCCAAATTAAATTCAAAGTAGTTTAATTGAGCAATGAATGATTTGTGAATCGGGTAGCCCCAGAATCACAGCACATTCACAGAGACTCCAGGAGTGTCTCATGGTCAGAACCAATTTTTTTTTTTTTTTTTTTTGAGACAGGTTCTTGCTCTGTCCTCTAGTCTGGAGTGCAGTGGCATGATCTCAGCTCACTGCAACCTCAGCCTCCCGAGTTCAGGTGATTCTTCTGCCTCAGCCTCCCAAGTAGCTGGAATTATAGGCACATGCTATCATGTTCAAGTGATCCGCCTGCATCGGCCTCCCAAAGTGCTGGGATAACAGGTGTGAGCCACTGCACTCAGCCTTGGTAGCTAACTTTTTTAGGAATAAAATGGGAGGCAGGTGGCTGGCTGCAGTGGCTCACGCCTATAATCCTAGCACTTTGAGAGGCCAAGGCAGGCAGATCACCAGAGGTCGGTTGTTCGGGATCAGCCTGGTCAACATGGAGAAATTCTGTCTCTACTAAAAATACAAAACATTATCTGGGCATGGTGGTGTATACCTGTAATCCCAACTACTGGGGAGGCTGAGACAGGAGAATCACTTGAATCCAGGAGGCGAAGGTTGCAGTAAGCCAAGATTGCACTACTGCACTCCAGCCTGGGTGACAAAGGGAGCGAGACTCCATCTCAAAAAAAAAAGAAGGGAGGCAGGTTTGCCCTCAGCAGTTCCCAGCTTGACCTTTTCCTTTGGCTTAGTGATTTGGGGTCCCAGTATTTATTTTCCTTTCACAGTTGCAGCTATTGCTATCACCCAATGCACTGGTGCAGTTTTGAAGTTGCTCCAGATCGCCCAATAGAGCCATTCCCAACTGCTGCTGAGGTTTGGAATAGGGTTATCTTGTCAAGATGTTCATAACCCATTTATTAATGCAACAACCTTTTAGTGTCTATGCCTCAGGCATCCTGCTTGGTGAGCTAGACAGTCAAGGTAACCATCCTTGGCTTTGCGTTGGTGGCTCATGCCTGTAATCCTAACACTTTGGGAAGCTGAGGCAGGAAGATTACTTGAGTTCAAGACCAGCCTGGGTAACCATCTCTATAGAAAAAGATAATTTTTTTTTTTTTTTTTGAGACGGAGTTTTGCGCTTGTTACCCAGGCTGGAGTGCAATGGTGCGATCTCGGCTCACCGCAACCTCCACCTCCTGGGTTCAGGCAATTCTCCTGCCTCAGCCTCCTGAGTAGCTGGGATTACAGGAACGTGCCACCATGCCCAGCTAATTTTTTGTATTTTTAGTAGAGACGGGGTTTCACCATGTTGACCAGGATGGTCTCGATCTCTTGACCTCCTGATCCACCTGCCTCGCCTCCCAAAGTGCGGGGATCACAGGCTTGAGCCACCGTGCCCAGCCATAATAATTTTTTTTGAGATGGACTCTTACTTTGTCACCCAGGGTAGAGTGCAGTGGCACAATCTTGGCTCACTGCAACCTTCGCCTCCCAGGTTCAAGTGATTATCCTGTCTCAGCCTCCCGAGTAGCTAGAATTACAGGCGTGCACCAATGCCTGACTAATTTTTATATTTTCAGAAAAGACAGGATTTCACTATGTTGGCCAGGCTGGTCTTGATCTCCTGACCTCAAATAATCTGCCTGCCTTGGCTTCCTGAAGTGCTGGGGTAACAGGTGTGAGCTACAGTGCCCAGCCAAAACAATACATTTTTTAAAAAGGTAACCAACCTCACAGACCTTATATATGAGCTGGGAAAGTCAACATTTAATAAATAATTACACCTCCAAAAATACAATTATCAACTGTGCAAAGTGCAATGAAGGACAAAAACAGGGTGCTTTAACAAAGAATGAGGGAGGCCTAGTTTAGATCAGCAAAGTGTACAAATGAGTAGGGTATGGCGTCTCCATCGAAGTGTTATTTAAGTACAGGCCTTCAGGTTCAAATGTGCTTTAGCTCAGCAGGGGAAGAGGCATTTTAAGCAGAAAAAACTACATATGCAGCAAGGGAAGTGAATTTGCATGTTTAATGAACTGAATGGCCAGTATGGCCGCAAAACTAGTGGATAAGAGGCAGGGCTTTGAGGCCACCATTAGGACTTCAGTTTCTATTATTCATTCTCTCCTTCACATTTCTTTTTTTTTTGAGACGGAGTCTTGCTCTGTCGCCAGGCTGGAGTGCAGTGGCGTAATCTTGGCTCACTGCCACCTCTGCCTCCTGGATTCAAGCGATACTTCCGCCTTAGCCTCCCGAGTGGCTGGGACCACAAGCGCATGTCACCACTCCCGGCTAATTTTTTGTATTTTTAGTAGAGATGGGGTTTCATCATGGCCAGGACGGTCTCAATCTCTTGACCTTGTGATACGCCCGCTTTGGCCTCTCAAAGTCCTGGGATTATAGGCATGAGCCAGTGCGCCTGGCCTTTTTTTTTTTTTTTTTTTTAATGTAATAGAGATGAGCTCTCACTATGTTGCTCAGGTTGGTCTCGAACTCCTGAGCTCAAGTAATCCTCCTGCCTAATCCCAAACTGCTGGGATTACAGGCATGAGCCATTGTGCCAGCTTCTCTTTCACATTTCTTTTTCTTTTCTTTTTTCTTTTTTGAGACAGAGTCTTGCTCTGTTACCAGGCTGCAGTGCAGTGGCACAATCTCAGCTCACTGCAACCTCCACCTTCCAGGTTCAGGTGATTCTCCTGCCTCAGCCTCCTAAGTAGCTGGGACTACAGGCACACGCCACCATGCGCGGCTAATTTTTGTATTTTTAGTAGAGATGGGGTTTCACCACATTGGCCAGGATGGTCTTGATCCCTTGACCTAGTGATCTGCCTGCCTTGGCAGGGATTACAGGCATGAGCCACCACGCCCAGCCTCCTTCACATTTCTTGGTACTCTTCCTCTGGGCCAGGTCATATTCAGGGAATAGGGATATCATAATTAATAATAACAATGGCTGATATTCATTGAGTATCTACCGTTTGTTATTAGAACTATCATTCTAAGCACTTTGATACATGAACTTATTTAAGACTCTCAGCAACTCTATGACCTAGATGCTACTATTGTTCCCATTTCACAGATAGGGAAACTGAGGCATAGAGAAGCTATGCAATTTTCAAGAGCATACAACCAGCAAGTGGGTAGAACCAGGATGAACCCAAGTTGACTGACTCAAGGACTCATAGGCATTTATACTCTTAACTGCTATGATTCATGGGAGACTCTTGTCAAGGAATAGAGAATGGTAGTTGTTGCCATATTAGCTACTCAAACAGTGCTTTGGATGTAGGCAGTTACTTTAGAAAAGAATTTCCCAAATTTGTAAGATCATAAGACCTCCCCTGTAGTGCTTGTTAAAAACAGATCATTTTCAGGCCAGGCACAGTGGCTCATGCCTGTAATCCTAGCACTCTGGGAGGCCCAGGTGGGCAGGTTGCTTCAGCTCAGGAGTTCCAGACCAGCCTGAGCAACATAGTGAAACTCGTCTCTACTAAAAATACAAAATATTAACCAGGTGTGGTAGTGCATGCCAGTAGTGTTAGCCACTTGGGAGGCTGACGTGGGAGAATCAGCTGAGCCCAGGAGGTCAAGACTGCAGAGATAGTGCCACTGCACTCCAGCCTAGGCAACCAGAGCAAGACCCTGTCTCAACAAAACAGAACAAAACAACAAAACACAGATCATTTTCATAGAGATTTGGATTCAATGGGTCCATTCTGGAATTTTTATTTTCAACTTTGGACAAATGCTAGCTGAGTAGTTCAGTGCAATGGCTCTTGAGCTGGAGATATCCTAATTTGGATACTTGAAGCTTTACCACCACTGTAGATGTTTGTCGCCTTGTGCAAGTCCCTTCATCTCTCTGAGCGTCAGCTTCCCCAAACGACTTATGCAGCTAATAACGGCACCACCTCCTAGGGCTGTAGTGGCGATTCAGTTAGCCGCATGCAAAGTGCTTAGCGCCCTGCCTAGTGAACAGCCAAGCAAAGATAATAATAGAAAGATGGTGGCAGCCACTGGAAGTTCAAGCTGAGACAGTCCTCCAAGTCATCCACTACAATCTATAATACGTAAGGCACCTTCTCATTTTATTTTATTTTTTTTTGAGACGGAGTTTTGCTCTTGTTACCCAGGCTGGAGTGCAATGGTGCGATCACCGCTCACCGAAACCTCCACCTCCCGGGTTCAGAGAATTCTCCTGCCTCAGCCTTCTGAGTAACTAGGATTACAGGCACGCGCCACCATGCCCAGCTAATTTTTAATATTTTACTCTCCCTGTGTTGCTCAGGCTGATCTCCCACACCTGGACTCAAACGATCCTTCCTCCTCGGCCTCCCATAGAGCTCGGGTTACAGGCGTGAGCCACCCCAGCGGCTCCTTCTGACCTTATGGTAGAATTGTCAGATTAAAAAAAAATCAGGACGCTTCCATTCAAACCTGCAAAAAGAGAAAAATTTAAAAAAATTAGGACGCCCAGTTCAATTGGAATTTCAGATAATGAAAAAAAATAACAAGTAGCTCCCAAATATTGCATGGGACATATACTAAGTTAATCTTTCTTTAAAAAAAAATCTGAAATTCGAATTTAACTGGGAGTCCTGCAGTTTTACTTGTTAAATCTAGTAACTCTTCCTTTAAAGAAAGACTGACACTAAAGCCTTACCCCCGCCCACGCGTGCCCTAGACCCTAGGTCTCCGCTCGCCAGGCGCGCAGATCGATCCCTGAGGGGCCGCTCACGCCTCCGCCCTGCCCAGGCAGCACTAGCTGCACCCCGAGCGGCAGGCCTCACCCAGTCCCTCCCCGGTCCCGCCCCGAGAGCAAAGGGCGCTGCCCAAAGCCGGACAGGTCTAGCGGCTGGCCTGTGTGAAGTCGCGCGGCTCCCTCCCACGCAGTGTTGTGAGTGAACCCCGGAAAGTTGATCGCCATGTCGACTGCAGAGGCGGGGGGTGTTTTCCATAAAGCCCGGAACAGGACCCTGGACGCGTTTCCCGCAGGTACTGCCCGCCCTCACCCGGGGAGGGTACTCTGGGATGCAGAACCTTCCGCTGGGGGAACCTTTCGTTCACGTTTGCGCGCTGTCAGTCGGACACCATCTGGGGCTGCACCGGGGTCTGCGGGCCGCCATAGCTGCATCAACGCCTGCTCTTAGGGATTCCAGGCGTGCAATTGAGAGTGGGGTCCGAGAGAGTGGTCTAGTCTAGGAGCCTCCCTGGCTTTCATATGACTTCCCCCAGAGAAGGGAAGTAAGGGGAAGGCAGCAAAGAGTAGTTAATGATAGCCTGGGCCCTGCAGCGAGACCGGGTTTCCCAGTCCCCTGCCATCCTCAGCATCTTGGCCTCAGCTTCCACATCTGTAAAACGGGAATACTTGTGGATGTTATTGGATAAGCGCTCGGTGCGTGTTAGAGGCCGTCCGTTTATTAAGGTTGTTCACCGTTATGTATTCTATACTCCATAATTACAGTCATTTACTATAAGTCATTTACCGAAATGGTAACAGTGCCCCATCAGAGCAGTAGAGAGGGAGGACAGTCGGAAGTCGTGGTAAAGTGCCAGGATTTTGGATTTAGATTACCTAATAATCTAAATAATTTACATTATTTAGATTAGTGTCAGACGCATGTTAGGTGCTAAGTTGAGAGGGAGGTTTGTTTCTGGTTCCTTGATTTCCCTCTGTGGCTTTTTGTTGCTTAGAGCCAGAGTGTCTCCCAGGCTCTCACCGCTTTATACCCCCAGGGTAATCACCAGCAAAGTCACCCTAAATGCCCTACGTGATCTGGCTTGTGTCCACCTTCCTTCAGGCTTGTCATTCTCTCCCTTGCCCAATTCTGAAACAGGTTTTGTTGTTGCCGTTGTTTGAATTGCATTTAAAGAGGCCAAGGCCTTTCTTTCCCTGAGGGTCTTGGGGCTTGCCCTTTTCTGCTGCTTTAGCACAGTTGTCGACCTAATTGTAAAGTTCATTCACTTCCTCAGAGACTTTACCTGCTACCTTATCTAAAGTAGGCTTCTCCTGTAATTCTATGGTAAAACCTATTTATTTATGGCAGAGTCTTGCTCTGTGGCCCAGGATGGAGTGTAGTGGTGGGATCTCGGCTCACTGCAACCTCTGCCTTCCCGGGTTCAAGCGATTCTCCTACCTCAGCCTTCGGAGTAGCTGGGACTATAGGCATGCACCACCATGCCTGGCTAATTTTTGTATTTTTAGTAGTGATGAGGTTTCGCCATGTTGGAAAGTCTGGTCTCGAACTCCTGACCTTAGGTGATCTATCTGCCTGGGTCTCCCAAAGTGTCGGGATTACAGGTGTGAGGCACCCGCCCAGCCAAACCTTATTTTTCTTCTTTGCAACTCTTGGTGGAGGAGTGGCAAGGTCAGGAAGACATGTGGGAGCCATACAGCAATGGTGGATTTGAGAAAGTACAATCTGCTATAGTGCCATTCCCTGTGTACATTTGGCCTTCTGTATCTACCAGTTGTGCATCCTCAGATTCACCCAACTGAAGACCGAAAATATTTGGGGAAAAAAGCAATAAAAAGTAACAATATGGTGATAAAAATGATACACATTTAAAAACTAATACAGTATAACTATAAGCATTTATGTTGTATTAAGTATTATAAGTAATCTAGAGATGATTTAAAGTATTTGGGAGGATATGTATAGGTCATATGCAATTACTGTGCTATTTTATGTAAGGGACTTGAGGATTCATGGGTTTTCGTATCCCTGGGGGTCCTGGAACCAATCCCTTAAGGATATCTAGGGATGACTGTATTTTAATGCAACTTGTCTTTTTTAACCAACATGAAGTTTTTGCTCTTTTGCTGGGCAACATTGCACTGGATGATTATATATTTTATGATTCTGTTGATGGATATGCTGAATATGTTCCCTTTGCCTCTCCAAACCTCTCTCCCTTCCCCACCATGCTCCAGGGGGTTGGCCTCCATAAACTACATCAGTGGGCTCCTTGCCTTTTGGTTGTTTTGGGGGTTCAGCTGGTGGGGATCCTGAGCAGAAATTGGAGCAGCGAGAGAAGCCAAAGGCAGCCGTATTTATTCTTGCAGTTTACTCCCTGTGGGGTTTCCTGGCTTGGCTGTCTTCCTCCCCACCCCTGAAGGCCAAGGTCACTGCTTCTCTCAAGACAGCTTTTCTCCTTGTCCTCTCTCGTTCCTGATTTGAGTAACCACTTCCTCCTTTGAGGTATGGAAGTGGCAATGGTTCTACTTTTCTTTTCTCTCTCTCTCTTTTTTTTTTTTTTTTTTTTTGAGATGGAGTTTTGCTCTTGTCGGGCAAGCTGGAATGCAGTGGTACAATCTCTGCTCACTGCAACCTCTGCCTCCTGGGTTCAAGCAATTCTCCTGCCTCAGCCTTCCCGAGTAGCTGGGATTACAGGCATGCGCCATCACACACTGCTAATTTTGTATTTTTAGTAGAGACAGGATTTCTCCATGTTGGTCAGGCTGGTCTCAAACTCTGACCTCAGGTGATCACCCACCTCAGCCTCCTAAAGTGCTGGGATTATAGGCCACCGTGCCTAGCAAGTTCTGCTTTTCTCTCCTTGGGCAACTACACTCGCTGCCTTCTGGTTTTCATCCACCTAACCCACCCCAAGTATCCCTTTTTAAACCCTTTTTGAAAGTATCCTAATTTGAGAATGCCAGCTATTTCCTGCAAGGACCCTGACTGATGCAATGGCTGTTTAGTTGTTTCTGGTTTTCGCCCTTGGTAACAGTGCTGCTATGAACGTTCTGTACAAATCTCTTTGTGGACACATGGGAGGGAGAGTTACTCCGAGGCATATACCTAGGAGCTAAGTTCTGGGTTGTAGGGTATAATCATCTTCAGCATTACTAGATATGGTCAAAGTGGTAGTGCCAATTTATATTCCCACCAGCAGTGTAAGAGAGTTCCCTGTTACTCTGCTATATTTACTTATTTATTTTTCAGTTCAAGAAATATTTGTTGTGGGCTGGCTGCAGTGGCTCATGCCTGTAATCCCAGCACTTTGGGAGGCTGAAGCGGGCGGATCACCTGAGGTCAGGAGTTCAAGACCAGCCTGACCAACATGGTGAAACCCATCTCTACTAAAATACAAATTAGCTGTTTGTGGTGGTGTATGCCTGTAATCCCAGCTCCTAGGGAGGCTAATGCAGGAGAATTGCCTGGTAAGCAGAGGTTGCAGTGAACTGAGAATGTGCCACTGCACTCTAGCCTGGGCAACAGAGTGAGACTCCATCTCGAAAGGAGGAGAGAAAAAGATGTGTGTGTGTGTGTGTGTGTGTGTGTGTGTGTGTGTATTTTTAAGATTTGTGTTTAAGTTACATGTTTTCAGAGGCTCATAATAATCCAGGCACAAAGCTAGGGTACAAAAAATAATGCTTGGCGAGTGGTGGACTCTGAGGACATTCAGGCAGGGCTTCCCTGAGGAAGTGTTGCTTCCTCTGATTGCTGGAAGAGGAGTATGAGTTAACTGGGCCACAAAGGGAGGGAAGACCATTGTGGACCATGGGCAGAGCAAGTGTGAGAGTCCTAGGGCATGGCAGGATAGGAAAGGTAAGAATGAGGCCTGAAAAAAGTCTTTGAGTCTGGAGCAGAAAGATGAGGTTGGGGCGTGGTGTGGGATGAGGCTGGAGAGGAGGGGTGGTGGTAACTAAGGATTTTCGTCATTTTTCAGTTCAAGAAAGATTTGTTGTGGGCTGGGTTGGGTGATGCTAATACCCTAACAGCATCAAAAGGCTTCAAGCTGGGGATGTGAGGAAGCAGGGACACGTGATCAGATTTTTGTTTTGAAAAGAGTGGTCTGGTTACAGCAAGGGCAATAAAAGCATTTCTACTTTAGAGCAACTTGGGGTGCAATCCAGTTGGAAGCTGGAGCTGAAGGACTTGTCTTGAAGCTACATTTCTGTAGACTCCCCATTATTTACTTGGTTTGTTTTTTGTTTTTTGTTTTGAGACAGAGTCTCACTCTGTCACCAGACTGGAGTGCAGTGGTGTGATCTCCACTCACTGCAACCTCCACCTCCCAGGTTCAAATGATTCTCCTGCCTCAGCCACCCGAGTACCTGGGATTACAGGCATGTGCTACCACACCCAGCTAATTTTTGCATTTTTAGTAGAGACGGGGTTTTGCCATGTTGGCCAGGCTGGTCTCAAACTCTTGAACTCAAGTGATCCACCTGCGGTGATCCATCTGGCTCAGCCTCCAAAAGTGCTGGGGTTTATAGGCGTGAGCCAGCATGCCCAGCCCCTATTGTTTACTTTGAATGTTTTCATTTGCTATAGCTGGAGGTGCCTGTTGGGTTCGGGGTATCTTCCAGTGGAGATGATGGGAGTGCTAAGGTATAGAAGTTTTCTAGGCCATTGCAGCTGCCAGGGGGCCACCGTGGGACCAGAGGATCAGAGAGCATCTCCCCTGGATAAGAATGGGGGTGCTGGAGAGAGACTCGAGACGATAAATCTGTAAAACCCTGCTTATAGGAGGAGAGAGAGTGACCCTGAACTTTTCTTAGCCCTGAGTAAATCTAAAAGTGGGGCCAGCACTTGGTCTCCTCTGTGAGCCACGCAGTCCTATAGACACACCCAGGATTGGTCATTTAACAGAGGGTCTTGAGAGGTCCAGCCTCAGAGTGTTCTGAGAACCCCAGACTTGTGGTTCATGTTATTAGGCACTGAACCTTGGCCTACCATTGCTGCTTCCATTGCACTCACCAACAATTCCCCTGGTCCTGACTCTCTTAGCATCACTGGCAGGTTGGAGAGGTGCCCTTAGAGGTGTCAGAGGCCTCTCCAGACTCCTTGGGAAGCCAGTAGAGTTGCCCCGTGAGCAGACTGAGAAGGTTCAAGAACTGGCTTTTGAGACTGAGTGCAGTGGCTCACACCTGTAATTTTAGCACTTTGAGAGGCAGAGGTGGGTGGATCCCTTGAGGCCAGGAGTTTAAGACCAGCCTGACCTACATGGTGAAACCCCGTCTCTACTAAAATACAAAAATTAGC